CTCATTGCTTCGGCGGCGCTTGGCCTTGCACAGCGAGCGGGTCTGATTTTCCATATTCCGACGAAACAGGCCCTTTGCCGGTTGGAGGTGGGTCTCGCTGCTCAGTGCCTTCGGTTTTCTTCCCGAGCTGCTGCAGCATGGGTTTGAGACGTTGTGTCACAGCGTCAGCCGATGGCCGTGCGTCGGGCGCATCGTTCCAACATTCTTCGAGGAGCGCCCATAGTTCTTCCTTGCACGCGTACTGCTCGATTGCAGGGTGGTCAGCTTGCTGGGGCTTTTGACCCATTGCAACCATTTGGATGATCCTGGGGCCTTTCGTCTTCACTCCAAATGGCGGCACGTCGGTCAATATCTATCACACGATCCTGTGAGTTGCGTTTATCATATTGCACTGCAAAACCTACTTCAAGAGTCGTCATAGCCCTAGTATTGCCGGAATTAGCACTGAGTTCATCTGCAATTTAATTTGAACCCACCATGAGTATATATCAGTACCATACGTGATACGCGGCTCGTCCTGCATGAGTTCAGGCGCCTAATTTCGCGATTGTGAGCGTCAGCGTCTCAGCCTGTCCTGTGAAATCACTCGCCATGTATCGGTATTCCTGGTTATCTCCAGTGAAGCCTTCATGGAAGTTTTCGATGATCTACGCATATATAAGGGGCGTTCGTCGAGGGCAGTTCAAAGTTGTATCTTACCTTCGCGTGGCCAAAGCCGGAGATAACCGCGCGCCCGCTGTCCTTGATCAGGACATTGGAAATATTCAAGGCACTGTGGACGATGCCATGGCCAGGCAGATCGACGGCTTCATGCATGTAATGAAGGCCACGCGCGACATCCATACTCTGAATTTAGGAATACTTGTTGGTTTCAGTTCGGATATATTTGACGTGTCTCACCATTTGGAGCCGGGCTTCCGGAAGCGTTTTGTTGTATTTAGTCAAATAGCGTTTCTAGAAAGCCGCCAACTTAGCCAGCTGTCGCTCAAGAAGAACCTAGACTTACAGCATCTTGGTTTCGCATATACGGAGATACCAGGTACCTGGGATGAAGTTTGTGGGTTGTGGCGAATACTGTAATTGCCAGATTATACTCACAACTGAAATTCTCCTTGGGCCACTGGTGATGGTATCACGCCAACTCCGTAGAACGGCAAAATTGCGTCGTGCCGTAGTGCGGACCAATTGAACGCTTGGCGGGCAAATCTCTACGGGCCATCTATAAGTAACAAATCGAGATGCAAGCAATGACATAAACCTCATGCGTCTTCTTGGCCGTATCTTCGTCTACTCGATGCCTCAGTACTTTGATGGCGATCCTCTCTCCGGTAAAGTATTCCCCGAGGAATATATCGTAGCTCGACCCTTGGTGAATGGCCTGGTGGCCAATGGTAACGAATTCCTTGCCGAGGATTGTAGATGGCGGAAGTGACTGCCCTGTGAGCTGGGCGATGATGGATAGTGCGCGTTTTGCATCTTGGTGGGGCTGGGATACCGTAGTGTCTCCAATAATCTATGATTTCTTGGTAAGTCCCAGTCTTTGTTTCGCAAAATAGTCTCCAACACCTACCTTGAGATTGTGATTCATTGACTCTAGCGCTCGCGTAGCCAAGTTCCCCGCCGGCTGCGACGTCTCCCCAATGACAGCCTTGAGTTCCTCTAATTCCTTCTGATCCTCCTGGCGGGCGTTCAAAAGTTCGTTCCTGTTCGTAGTCGATTCTGAATCGGTACCCTGGGCAGACCGTTAGTACGGTCTGCGACCAAGGATATGTTGTTTAAGGTTCTATACCTTTAAGAGTTCACGGAGCGCTTCTAGGCCATTGAATGCGTCATTAATCACAGTCTCGAGTTGTTTCGGGCCGTCACGATCTCTTAATACAATCTCCCATTTTGTTTTAGACTCGAGCTTATCCGATACGGACCGGAATATGCTGTATGAATATTCATCGTTAATTCATGGCTCAGCGCTCCGGTTACTGTACCGACCTAGCGACCTGGGGCAAGATCTTGGACGCATCGCCGCCCGATTTAAGGCAATTAGCAGTTTCTTCGAGCACCAATACACCTTGTCCTTTCAATACTTGAAGTTGATTTCTAGTTGTATACGCCGATATTTATTAGTATGCAGCAACCGGAACCAGGATACGGTGTGGAGCACTTACTTCGATAATGTAACATTTTCCTGGTTGGCAAGAAATGCTCTAAATGCTTCCAGAGCATTTTTGACTTCGGCCGGATTGCCAGTGATAGATCCTGCAACACGAGTAGCTACCTCGGCGAAGGTGGCAACTTTAGCCTCGTGGGGTGTGTAGGCTGGCGGAGCGTCGAGATCCATTATGAAAGAACGTCGAGAAAGGAAATTCGCGTCGAACAAGTGCTAGTTGGAGAGCTCAGGTGCTTGAGATATCAAGAAACGCAGGGCCCGGCGGGCGTTTTAAAGATACGAGTCCGGGAGGCTACGTCTAGAAACGACCCCCAGGGACTGTGGAGATTACCCGTACAAAGTTGAATGAGGAGCAGGAGCACAGGACAAACGGGCGAGCGTATCAGCCCATCACACGAGCTTTCAACGTGGTCGTCCATTCAGGAAGCCAGCCGGCGTCAAAACAGTCCATGACGCCACATTTGATAGCGGGAGCCCAGGCGCTGGTGAGTCTAAGCTGCATCCAGCAAATATAGGACAGCATTGCCGAGATGTGATGCGCGTGGGATTATTTACGCGCACCGGTGTCATGTAACCAAGTTTGTATCGCTCTCTGGGGAAGGTAGTCCACGAATTTCACTCGATGCGTGGCTAGTCCGATCATAGTTGCCTCACCTATCTTCCTAGGCAAAAGAACAATCAATCGTAGAGCTGAGAAGCGGGGACATTGAGGTTTGTCTTACTTTTTATCATTTCTATCTTGCTAAAATGCCATTGGTTTCAGCTGTTATCGCCGTTAAACCTGGCTGTCGGCCGAAGTGTGAACGGTGGAAGCCGTGCTGCAGCATTCCTCGAACATCAACCCCACAGTTCGTGTCTATGGATGTACTTCTCAAGTACCGGATCGGATCGATCGAGTTACTCACCTGACGCGTCCTTCTCGATGGCCCTAGGTTCCTTTGCTTCCTCGACATGCGGCTCACACTGGTTATGGTAACAATAGTTTGTTTGAGGCGAATTTCGGCCTTCTATTAGCCTGGACATTTGGGGGTGGAGTTTGAAATTTGGGCGTAGTTCACGCTATCAGTATGCGGTCTACACACTCTCGGAGGTCTCTGGTGATCCGTGTGCTTGGATTCCAACAGGCGTCTCCGCGAGATTGTCGGGCTAGGAATGTCTCGGTTGCGCGCGTTTGAAGCATGGTATAGCCGCGCGTCAGCTCTCCTTTGTTAGCACGCGGGGAGTTCCCGGTACTCCGTGGGCGATTCCGTGACTGGCGTCTGGTGCGTGAGGTTTCAGGATACGCCACCGATAACCGAGGAGCAGGCGAAAAGTAATTTAGGATATTCAGACGATCCAATGACGAAGCTCCCAATTTGACTCGCCTTAATGGATTCTTGCCCCAAATGCATGCCCTGAAAGCAACGGGGTCCGATGAAGTACTAATGAGAGACGAAATGATCGACTCATCAACCACCATCGTGCCGCTCAGCCGCCTAAAAAAACAGGATAGGGTTGTTCCGCTACCTCCGCTCCCTCCTTGCAGTGTAAGAAACGGCAAGTACTCACCGACATATTTGAACCACCGAAGTCAATAGCTAACAGCGTCCGACCAAAATCTCGGCTATTCGGACCAGTCAACCTCAACGAGACCTTGTTCGCTCTTTTCGGCCGTCTTAAATTTTCAGAGAAAAATCGCGCTCACTCTCAAAGGCATCATACCTGCCGCAACAAGCCCATTCCGACCTAGGTTTCTGGAAGTACAGCCGTCAGCGAGATGAGCCTTGATGCGGGAGCCGGGGCCAGGGAACAAAGAAATAAAAAGGCTGGTGGAATGGGACTCCGAAGAGGCTATAGCTCTAGATATCTTCCAGTGATCAGGCGATTCTTGAAAGCTGAAACTACCCGCAAAAGAAGGTTCATGGGACTCTAAGGTTGGTAGTAGCGTCGGGATACTGATCAACGAGTGTGTGAGACATTGTCGGTCCCAGGAGGTTAGGGGTAGGATCGAGACTAGTTTCACATGAATTTTACAGCGCTGCGGTCCATTGTGCACAATAGTCGGCTAGAGAGAGATAGTCCCACAATGGGAGAGTTCCGTCAAGCCACGGACATAGGTGAATCACAAATTGTGAGCCTTGCAGTGTGTCGACCATCAGTCTTACGTAGCTAATGCGACCGTACGGAGAGTAGGCCTAGCGGCTTAGGAAGTCGTATTCTAGGGAATGTACGTCGCTTGAAAGAGCCCGAGAGGTGTTGTACTGCAAGATGATGCGGCATGTGACGTGGAAAATGTGCACGTGACCTTGAGCAAATACACATTACACACGCTGTCTGCGCGGACAGCACACCTTGCTCGTTGGTATTAGCTATGGTTTGCCGCCATGCTTTTCATAAAGTGGCTGAGCTAATCGATTGACTCTGTATGCGTGATTTTCGACGCTCCTTTATTTATGATAATCGAACTTGGTACGTTCCGCAGTTGCAGTCGGTCGCACAACCACCTGGCGCGGCGCCTTTCGAGGCCGCGTTTCCTCCGGTTTAAACATCGTAGAAGGCTCCTACTTCAACATTCAAATGACTGCCCCTGCTATTTAACTGAAAATATTATTGTCATCAGGACGGCCAAGTCTCACAGGGTATACCTCCGGTGCGCGGGAAACGGCTGTGAGGACGATACAGTCCCAGCACGTCCACTGGTATTTGAGATCTCTTCATTAATAACCACGTCATTTGATGAGAGATCAAAAAGTTTTTATCAGGCGGTCGAATTTTTAAGGTTGTGTGTAGTTTAAGCCGGATGCATGTGAAACGAACAAGTCCCCTCTTACGCGACCCCCCCCTGAATGGCAAAACATGACGACTGCGAGATTCGAACTCGCGCTCCGAAGAACCAGATACGGAAACCAACAGTGTACACCGGAAACCTTAGTCTGGCGCCTTAGACCGCTTGGCTAAGTCGCCGGTGTCGAGGGGGGTCACATTTCTGCATTGATGCGACATAGGAGATAAATGGCGTATACGTTTGATGATAAATAATACGAAACTAGAAGAGAACTTGGTCAGGCTGAAAGTGGTTGAGTGAGGCATGCATCTGTCAAACATCATAGATTCAGATGTAGAATGATGTACCTCGCATACAGACCTATCCTGGGGCAACCTGTTGTAGTTGAGGTAATTGGGCACAGCAACGCCGGTCCTGAGAGTCATCTGATGTGAATATACGGGCTCAAAACCATACGAGCTCAGATTACAAGTTTGATCGCATGCCCCAGGAAGTACGCTGCACCTTCGGTCAGACAAGTGCAGCCATGAAGGACAGCATAAATAACGCACTTCATAGGCATCCCGCTTCAAAAGTACCGCCGACTTGTCAACTGCAATGGCAACTAGCCTCGCAGAAGCCAACGGGGTAACCCGATCGTAGTAATTCCCTTGTCTTGCGCGATAAGCATCCAGTCTGGATCCTTCTGAAGCAAACATATCAATAACCAGCATCAGGTTTGCAAGCGTCTGGTTAAATGGACCGGGATACCACTGGACGGCCCGAGCAAGCCACAGTTACAATACACATCCGGCTGCCCAACACACGCATATAAGCTTCGGACAAGAAACCGTTCAACTTGACTCACTAATAACCAGGTAACAGGGCCCACTAGGTGCCCATGTGGTAAGCTGCCAAAATGATCCATCGAACATGCTCTTACTCACAGAGTTTTGTACTCGTATCGGTCACTTCAACTTCAAAATAAACACATCCCGAGTCGTCACATTTGAATTGTTAATCGAGTCGGAGCAAGCAATGGCTTGAGAAAAATCTAGATCAAGATTCGAAGGGTCAGTATGGTTGGATTTGGCACGCTGTTGACAGGGGCAAGCCCCCAAAGTCAGGGGAAAGGTGTGCCCTGGAGCTACGATTCTCCCAGTCAGGTTAGAACCGGTAGTCAGGGCACTCGAGTTGCGAAGAGCATTAGAGGTTTCAAGTGGGTATTGTGCAAGGGTTTTGCAGCTACTCGGTCGATACATGCCAGCCCAGCTCTAAGCCACAAGACTGCGAGCGGAATAGTTAATACAACCGGGCAACGTGTACCACAAAGTACCCCTGATGTCGTTACTATTCCGCCTGTGGCTTTTGTATGATTGTGGGCGTGTTACAGCATGGCACTTGCCCTGAGCTGACATTTGTTATGGCGTAAAGAGCACTCACCTTGATCGAACTCAGCGCCCAATTGAGGATAGTGGCAGCGGTTCATCCGTTTTGTGCAATGGCGGATTGTCTGGATGGACCCACATCTGCATGTATTTCGCAAATCCGTCGAGCACCTGTTAGGTGTAAGTTAGGGCGATATATATGGTCTGCTCGCAGGTTAGCTAAGGACCACGCAAATGAACATCTTCGCCCTCACCTTCAATGGCAGCTTGGTCGATCACACCCAAGGATTAAGCACTCCGTCCAAAATCACTGGTCCAGAGAATACTACAAAGCCAGATATGAGAAGTTGCGAGTCCGAGCGCCGCAGAACGACCTACTCTTGACGAAGTGGTTCCCCAAGAGTCCCATAGCTTGACGAATGTAAGTGCTATCTCGACGCAAACGATAACCACCGTGCTTACGAAAATCCCCAACAGTTTATCTCCTTGTTTCCCTGGAGATAATCATAAATCAACACCATATCTCTCACAGTCGCTAGCGTTCCAACGCACCGAAGCATATGCATGCTCCCCGAGTCACAGCGATCATAGAGCCGAACAGGCGCATCGTCGGTTTCTTGAACATGCGAATAAAACTTGGAGCGAGCGGTAAGATTGGTCAAGTCATCACGGACTTCTAATGGGTTTCTACGGGTAGAGCCATTCCAAAAGGTATGCGCGTCCGAAAGCGAGTCGAAGTATTTAATTCGAGGTTTGGCGTTGCTAGTATCTCGAGGATCCCAACCTACATTATTTAGCATCGGAAAGCTAGAGTGCTTTTATAACTCACTGATGATATCGTACTGGACACTCGAACCTGCAACGGGCGGATCGAGATCGCCTCTGAGCAGCCATGAAACGCCTCCGTTACCTCCACAACCCCGACCGCCAAGAAACACTAAAATAAGCATAATATACTGACCTGCACCACCCGGGTTCACAAACAACGTTCCGAGGCGAGGCGTCCCTGTTGCGTTTACTCCAATCACGGCGAATTGTGCCTCTCCGGCAGCAGGATCGTGATAGTCCAAAGGGAAGACAAAAGTTCCGCACCGGATCCCAGAGAGTGAGTCGTCGCATGTAATCCAGGAAATTTTGAACTAACATTAGCGGAGCTTGCAGAGACAAGCTGAAAGGCTTATAGTAGAAGAATGGGCGTCGAGGTACTGGACATAGCTACGCCAGAGAGTAACAGATGAAAAAGGCGAGAGCATTGAAAGAATCGAACATGCCGGGTTTTTATTGAACGAGAACCCGAGAAACCCAACCGAAAGCAAACAACCCTAGTGCTAGAGTACTGCTGTGCACATAACAAGACAGTGTATAGTTCGTCTCTATGGCGTTCCAGATCCTAGCGAGCCCAGTTCGACATCCGATGGGGCTAAATGTCTAAATGGGGCCGGAAGCAAACACGGGCTCACAAACGCCCAGCGTTTACCTCGGCCCGGTGTGGTTCCAATGATAATAAAAACGGTATTCATTTTGACAACAATATAGTAGACACAGGCAAGACCAAAAAATACAATCGATCGCCATTTTTATTCCCCCTAGTGCATCTTTGCAATCACCCGCGGCTGCGACACGTCCTGCATGTTGATAAAGATGTCGTCTGCCGGGTGACGGTACAGCGGCGCGCGCAGGCGCTTTTGGTCTATGGTCTACGTTAGCTTGTGTCAACTCGACGCGAGATGGCGACATACCGAGATGATGTCCAATAAAGCCGATGCTTCGGCCGAGCACGAACAACCCGTTGAGCGTGCCAATCTTGATATATTCGTCGGCCTCTTCGCGAGTAAACGCACCCGAGTCGCGCAACAAGTCGACGAAGCAGACGGCGATGCACCCGTCGACGTTCAGAATGAGCTATCTCCGAGCATTAGCTGGCCGCATGTGCATGTAGGGACCGACAATGCTCACCGTGTCCTTCTTGGCCGTGGTGACCTTTTCGACCGCGAGCGCATAATCGAGCAGCGAGTGACTCGGGAAGTTTTTGTTGACATACTCCTTGACGAGCTCGACACGCAGATCAGGGTTATTCACGCTCTTGATCTTGTGCCCAATACCGCTAACTATATATCCCGTCAGTAATCATACGCATACATGAGCGATAGAAAACTTACTAAGCTTGTTCGCCTTGCGGCTCTCGTCCACAAACTCGCGCGGGGTCAAGCCAGTATCACGCGCGTTGGAGAACATGGACGCCGCCTCGTCGAGCGCACCACCGAAACGCGAGCCAATAGTCAAGAGACCAGACGCGAGAGACGAGATCAAGTCCTTGCCCGCACGCGACGCGACAATCGTGTTCATCGCACTACAACTTGTCAATAAAAATTACCAACACGGCCCAAACCAACTCACCCAGAAACAGCCGGTCCGTGGTCGGCCGTGAGCATGAGGACCATCTCGATAAACTTGGTCGCCCACGCCGGCAGTCGTCGCTTGAACCACAGCAAGCTCACGACACCGCCTAGACCAATGTCATCCTTGAAGACGTCCGAGATGCGCATGCCGGCGTACAACAACTCCTGCCCACGCTCGTCGGAAATGGTCGAGATGAACGCGGCCGGCTTTCGGATCAAACCGAGTTCCTGAGCCCACTTGTAGTCCAT